CGTACTAACGTATTTATTTGTTAATTAGTATAAAATTAATTGATTATCTCACACCTGCGTTACTAGCCGTGTATAACTGATAACAATATTAATGAATTATCCGATAGCCACAATGCTTTGTCACGACCAGTCACTGAGCTAGTGGTCTGTGCAAGTGACGAGTTGCACGTAGAACACTGGCAAATCAAAGTACCCTACTGAACAAATTAGGATTTCACCTTTATCATTTTGAAATATAGTTGAAAGTCTAACAATTCGGTGTAGGTTTATGTACTAGTGTGTGCACTACTAGAGCTTCTAAATCGGCATTATAAAGAGCTAATACGAATTTACCTTTACTAAACAGTTCAGTAGGTTGTCTGGCTATTATTTTACTGTAGGAATCTATTGTCTTTTGCTGACATACCTAGTTAGGTAAATAAATAGGTACATGTAATATAGAAGAGGCAAATAGTTCTTGTAAAGAAATCTATCCCAAGATGTTAAAGTACTTCTGGGCCCGAAGACTTGGACTGCTATTTGAGAGACTAGAATAAATACTTTGACTTTGACTTTAGATTAGCATGTTCTAAAAAGCAACCTACATAAAAACAGTATTTTTATCTACTTGCATAGGTACATATACTATTATCTTCCATGATCTGCATATTCTATGCGTAAATAAAACAAACAAATGCAAACACTGGGCTTAATATAACAGTTTGAAATTACCGCTAAATTTTTTATCGATAAAAAAGAAAAATACAAGAACTTACCTTTCTAACATAGTACAAGATTCCAAAGAGCACGTATTTCACATGATACCATTTTCCAGGGACAGCGTAAATGCCTAAAATCGGTGTGGGATCCTTCCATAAGAGATGGTAGGTAAGTAAAATTATCACAAAGCCGGCGACACACAGCGTCAGTGACATTTTGCGGCAACGACAGAGCTACGACTGTAGAGTATTGATAATATTGATATACCCATTTAAATATACGATAAGGCAGACACATTGTTGTACATTTTGTGCCGTAATAATTACCTAAGTACCTTGCAGTTTGTTTTTGTTATCAGATGTTACACTTTATTGTTGCGACTGTTTATTAAAGAGATTGTTTTAGATTGAAGTGGATAGTTTTAGGATACCTACAAAGCAGATGCGAATTAAATTAAACCTAAAGAGCGCTGTAGGCAAGTACTTACCTCATGACACGGTGGAACACAAAGTAGGGGAATGCTCTGCGTGGGAATACACCGCCGTGCCCTCAGGGATCGGCGACGGCGACCTCTCGCGTCCGGCCCTAGTGCGGGCCATGTTGCGGTGCGAGGGGGACTGGGATGCCGTCTCCTCCTTTTTCGAAGCTGCCATGCTGGCTAAGGAGGAGGCGGGGCGCATGAGGCAGCGAAGCGCTGCCTCCTCACAACCCAGCCGTCGCGAAGGACACTCCTGGCGTTGGGGATGGCGAGACGATCTCCGGCCACCGTAAGCGCGGGCCTGCGGACGGCGAGCATGGGTGGCTCGCCGCCCGACCAGAACTAGACCCGAGCGTACGGCGCGTCACGTTCCGCGCGCCCCTCAAAGAGTCATCAGACCACCACCGATGGGGCCCAATAGGGCTGATGCCGATACGGAGCCGCGGAAAACCTAACGGCTTACCGGGGCTCCGGCTCGAAATGCAGGAGCAGGAACGGAGTGGTTTTTAGTCAGTAAGAGTCTGACACTCCCTCCTGCCTCACCCAGGCGGGAGAAGCCATTCATTGATTTTCCCCCCTTAAAAAAGGCAAGTACGTTATATGCGCCCCCATAGACTATACAATATATACTGAGAGGCGCCCCTAACTATTTTTTGGCGCCGTCGCGGTGGCAGCCCTCAGCACCTTTAAGGGGCTCGGGTTTCTCTGAAGAGATCTGCTCCGGAGCCCCACGGTGCAGCGCCTGTTACAGCACATTCCTAGGGAGACCTGACTCTATGCACCCGTGTAACCTAGCGGCCTAGGCTAGGCACTTGTCTAATATAGTTTTGTATTTGAATATTATTATGTTCTTAGATTTATATATACTAACCTTTTCGCCGCCAACAACTTCTATAGAAGTTCAGGATTTTCGTGCCGTCCACGCCACTACTTCTATAGAAGTTCATTGTATCTACCTACTATAAAAAATACATTTACGATACATAAAACATTTGTTTCTTTGTAATTTTGTAATATGGACACGACGAACTATTTTTTCTCATGCAAAACAGACTATTTTCTGTTTTAAAAAGGTAAAACATAAAAGGTTTCAAATAATTTTATATCCCGCACGCCAACGACTTCATATCAAGTAGGCCAGTGATGTGACGCGTAAGGAGCATTCATTAGAATCTTTATTTACTATAATATTTGTTTTCTTTTCCATCCAATAGTTTTTTGAATTCTATGAATAAAAAGAAATTCCGGTCAGTAAATAACGTATTACAATGCGTTTCAAAATTAATGTACATCTACCTATCAAATCATTTCATTAAAATTAATTATTATGTACTGAGGGTTTTCGATATTGCTAGACCCATCTCTACGTAATGGCAAGATGTCGAGTGACACTAGCGCCGTCAACTTCAATAGAAGTAAACCTGTGACGTCGTAAGCGCTTAGGCGTCAAGGTCATTGTGTCATAGTTCCGGGCGACGCGTGCACGCACATTTTTCTTTCCCAGTGCAGTGCAAAATGACCGAATATGATTCGGATGAGTTGTTGCGGCTGTTACAAGGTGGGTCGCGAAAAATTTGTGATCGACTCAGGTCTATATTTGTTCGCCGACACAGCTAAAAGTTTGCGAAACCGAGAGCCGCAACGAATAGGTATTTTATGACTACCTAATATCCATCAAACGTGCCAGTTTTTCATTTGCATTAAATGAAAAATAAGCTATTAAAGTTTAGTACATCTGTATTAAAATAGTTACTTACCATCCATTTCCAAAACTACACATATGTTGCCACTTTTAATCACTACAAACAATGTTCCTGATCGTGACCTGACGTTAGATTTTAAATGTAAACTAAAACCAAAAGCAAACCAAACTCGATAGAAAGAAAGAAAAGCATAGACAACTATTCCTTACGAAATGTATCGTGCTTTGAACGCCAATGACTTGATATGAAGTAAACAGACTACGTTATGAAATGAATAGTGAAGTGGCTAATGTTACGAATTATTATTATTATCTCTAGCAACTCTATGCATGTATCTTCATCTCTGATAACGGATACCCATTTTTCTTAGTATAAATGTTCATAAAATAAAACAAATTACCATTATAACTTAACAGTTTGTATTTTTAATTGTAAATTTGAGTACCAATTTAAATTTACACATATTTTTTTTCATTATCGACATGATGTTACCGCCATCCCTACTTTCGTACTATACATTTATTATACATTTATACGTTGGCGTACGGCGACACATCGTGTTTAGTATAGCTGGGCGGCGAAAAGGCTAATTATAAAATTGAAAACTTTTTTCGATTTGAGCGCGAGAAACTCCGGAACCGGTACGAATTGAATGATTCTTCCTATTATGTCCTATTAAGGCTATTAGGGCATAAAACCTCACGCTAAGATTGTATTGCACCGATATGTGAGATCTTTATAAACAAATCATTAAGGGTTTTTAAGGGGGGACATCATCGAATGTCTTAATTGTCCCGTTCGGGCGAGGCGGGAGGGTGTGTCAGACTCTTACTGACTAAAAGCCACCTCGTTCCTACTCCTGCATTTCGAGCTGGAGCCCCGTAACCGTTTACGTTCTCTGCGGCTCCGTATCAGCATCGGCCCGATTGGGCCACATCGGTGGTGGTTTGATAGCTATATGGCTACGGCACCGTCTTGAAGTATGCCGAAGTGTTTCGATATCGTATTTCTCATCATAACAGTCTCAGAGTTGTTACAAGCTAGTTGTCCGAGTTGTATTTAATATGGTGGACTGGGATCTAGTGCTCATAGCAGCTCTTGCTGAAGAAGAAAATAAATCTAATCAATCAAGTCGGCTGCCGGAGGATGCAGAAGCATCCTTAAGGATCTCAAAGCTACCGATAAAGCAGCCTCAAGCATACCGAAGCGGTATTTTTGTTATTACGACCATATGCACGGCAATGTCTACTTTATTGCCATTACGTTAATGTATGTTGCTATTATTTGCCACCTAAAATCCTCAGACGTGCCGATGCCGATAGTAGGTACCTTTTTTTTGAGGGGGGGAAATCATCGAACGACTTATCCCGCCCGCGTGAGGCGGGAGGGAGTGTCAGACTCTTACTGACTAAAAACCACCCCGTTCCTACTCCTGCACAAGGTGCCTTAGGCTTACTTTTTCTGCTTAATCATTGCCCAGCTATGCGCTCATAGTGCAATCAAATTTGCTGTCAGACAGTTTTTAAAGTAACCCTATTTTCAAATAGAAATAGAAAAGAATCAGCAAGATACACAAGTTCAGAAGGTAAATAAAACAACAATGTATACTATTAATATTTTACATTTATTAATAGAGAAAATAACAAAACCTTAACATAAACTCTAACTTTTACATATAAATTAATTCTTAACTTTTATACGGCTGCAATAAGTAGAGAAAACATAATCTGTACTACGAAAATGACTCGTAACACTAGGGGATAAAAATCGAATTGGTATAACAGAGATTATGAAAAACATATATAATTTTTTATTGTTTGTGATGTCCCGCAAAACCTTAGTAAAACTAGAGTGATAGTTATATATTTTATATCACAATACTGATCGTTAACATTTAATATTATCGTGTTATAGAAATTTATGACGTACAACATCTATGGTTTGCTATAGTCACCTTTGTGCAGTTTTTAGTTCAATGATATATGACGTCGAGTGATGTGATTGGTTAATATTGATCAGTCATAAACAGCTGCTGAAAGCGTGCAAACATTTTGTCGGGCAACTGTGGCGCAACTTTATTGTGTCATTAGAGCTTCTAGGTTGATGTTTCCAATGCCAGATCTACTGTTAACAATTATCTTTTGATGTAAAAATCGGCCCTGTACCAAAGATAATCATGAAAGTTAGGTAGCATTACAATTAAGTAGAATAAAATTCAAGAAATTAAGGATTTCCATAAAAATAAGATCGTATAGTTTACAAAACACCAAAAAGTGCAGCACAACAGTCGTACAACTTCACATCAATTAGCTCTGAAGTTTGCCTCCATCTGTCACTTACACGAACTTCAGAGCAGTGACGTCATTTGACATGTAATACTTACATAGACAATACAATTTTCTTTTTTAAAATACATAGCAAAGGCGACCTAATTTATACCACCTAAGTATAAACTAATGAGAGATTATCGCAAGGGGAATCTGAAATAGACAATTTGACATGATTCGTCTCCTGCCATTTTAACTGACTTCAAAAAGAAAAAAGGTGGTTCTATTTGACCTGTATGTATGTTTGTGCGCGACTGTCTCGCGATCAGCTGAAGCGATTTTGATGCGATATTTAGAAGAGTGTTTGTTATACTGCGGAGAAGGTTTAAATATATTAGTTAACCGACTCCAAAAAAAGAGAGGTTTCAAGTCTGTTTTTTAACTTTATAGAAGAATTATTAAACATATTATTTACATATGTAATACTAAATGCTACTTACTTAAAGTCGATACAAGATGAAATGGTAACGACTAAACGTACATTTTATTTGTCGGTGTTAAGGTACATTTTGCAGTGACTACATTACTTAGCTAATTTAATAACAATGAAAAGTGTACTTTGGTGTATGGAGTTAAAGTTTATAGTCGTAAAATATAACATATTTGTTTGAAAAGCCAGTAGAATACAGTTTTTTATTGTCTCCGATTATAATGCTTGCTTAAGCCTTATTCTAATATAATGCTTTAAGCACCTATCTGACGAATCATGCCAACTTTCGACAAGGGCTCCGGTCCACACGTATTAAATGCAAAATTAAAGAGTTTAGACAAAAAATAATAGTCTTGTTTAATGGAATGTCGTTTACCCCCTAAGGGGTGGTGTTACTGACATTCAGTTAGACTGGTTCAGTGCCAACCCCCACTTAGGGGGATAGGCTAAAAAATAAGCCAATTTAATAGAGAATAAATATTATAGATCCTAAACACGTGTTTCGGTGTTCGCTTCGCACATACTTAACTACTATTTATACCAGTGGTAACTCTAATTTCGACCTCAAGTCCTTAAAGATAAAGTCGATGGCAGATCGACGTGACGACTGAGTTACAGAACCGTTGTATATCACATTAACGAAGTATAACCTAACTTGTACTGTATTCTAACTAGGTATGTTTGAGAATACGATGCGTGCATACAAAAGCATTTAAGAATACAAATCTCAACCTTATTACCATGAGCGTAAAAGCTTTAATAGACCATGACAATTAACTTTTTAAAGAACAAACAACCAAAGGGTTTTACCATTGGCTAGACAGGATTAAAAACGAAACTAGCGCCGCCAAATCGGAACTAACGGACACCAAAACACGTCGACTAAAGAAGACAATCAAATGACCGATGCCCTTAGTTCCTATCTTAATCCCTGGCCGCTCCAATGATGGTGAGGATGTAAAGGAATATGTTGATGATGTCCAGGTAAAGGTTGAGGGCAGCGAAGATATATTCTTCAGGTGAAATGCTGTACTTATGCTTGCCTCCCATCATGAGCTGGGTGTCGTATACCAGATACAGAGAGAAGATTAACGCTCCGATGGACGCGTAGACCAGGGTCACTACTTTGTTGCCAGGGATGAATATGCAGACGATACCTGGAACCGAAATAAATTCACAGTTGAAAAAACAAAAAGGTTTTGGTAGCTTTTTTATGGCATAAGCCGGTAAACGGGCAGACGGATCACCTGGTGGTAAGCATTTGGCGTCGCCCATGGACACCTGGAACACCAGAGGCGTTACAAGTGCGTTACCGGCATTTTGGGGATTAGGAGTTTGAGGATCGTTGGGGATTCAGGAATTGGGGATATTGCCTTCGGTAACCTCACTCATACGATGAAACACAACGCAAGCGTTGCTTCACGTCGGCTTTCTGCTCGGCCGTGGTATCACTCCGGTCGAGCCGGCCCATTCGTGCCGAAGCCAGACTTGAAGCACAGCTTGTGGCGGGCTTTTGTGCCTTTAGGCATAATTCATTCTGTTTCCTGCATAAATTCACCAAAGGGAAGTGAAAACTATCGTTTTGTCCTTCTCCTCTATTAAGATCTTCTGATTTATTTCGCTGTGGGATCAAGACAGTAGTTCATGTCCCTAGGACGTGCCGGACTTTAGTGTTCCGGTGTTTTCATGATTGTATCTACTGTAGATCCTGGATTACAGGAGTTGCAGCGGTTTTGGGATGTTGTGGCGGGCTTATCACAAAATAGTAAGAATAGCTTTTTAAATTAATTATTACATTTTTCGGATTACTCTCGTGAATGTTTGACTCGACTATAGTAGCGCTAGTCGCCGCGTCGTATGTCGCGGAATGCTGTATGAATATAAGCCTCTAGTATAGCTAGAAACTAGTCGAGTTCCTCGTAAAATAGTTACATAAGCCGAAAAAAATAAGAATTAGCTTTGTGAATACAACTTACCGAATATAAGCAGTACGACGGTGGCGCAGAGTAAGAACCCGCCCATGACGGTGAAGTCCCACTTCGTTTGGAACGCGAACAGAGTCAGAGCCAGGCATACTGCCGCCGTTATACCTACTGCCATCAGTACCTGGGAAGGAAAAATAGGGTCATTAAGTTTTGATAGACGCGACATCACCACGACCTCACAGAAAACCGACGTGAAACAACGCTTGAATTGTGTTTCGTATTGTGAGTGAGGTTACAGAAGACTCAATTACACCTCTCCCCAATCCCCAACAATCATCAAATTACGAAGGATGACTGGCAGAGAATGCTGTTAGCATTAAGTTTTCCTTATGCAATTTTCAAATTCAAATTGCCAACGCACATTGAGCAAGCGTGGTGATTAATGCTCAAACCTTCTCCGAGTGAGACAGCAGTGGCTAACTATACACTGTTGATGTGATGACGTGATGTTTCTTAAAATATGACTTGTAAAGACTTGCGAGACGATTACCATTTACAAAATAGCACACAAATTTGAACCTTGTAGCTACTGCAGTCGATTAAAAGTAGGTACTCACCGCATCGACATCGTAGACGCTAGAAGTGACACCAAGTAGGAAACTCTCAGCTACAGTGAAGATACCGAGGAAGATGAAGTTCATTGGAGCCTGCCTTCGGACGTTGTGACAACAAGCCATTACGATCAGACATACGAACACCACCGCGAACGCTACCCAGCTGGAAAGACAAATAAATAATAATTATTATTATTAGCATATGACTGCCTTGTTGGCCGAGTGGTCGCAAGTGCAACTGTCGGGCAAAATATTACTGGGTTTTTAATTCTCAGTAGTAGCATGAACTCTGGAATTGAGCCCGGTATATGGCAATAGGCTCACCCCCTATTACATGGGACTCATAACTTAATTGGGAAAAGTGGGTGTTACATTGTACAGTGGCATAATGTGCACGTCTGTCTACCCCTTCGGAAAAGAAGGGCGTGTTGTTATGTTTTGTTTAATACTTTCATTATTTGATTCGAAGTACAACTACGAATAGAAGACCTATATCGAGGATTTTCACGTTAACGCGTTTGTATATGGGATAAGCCGGCAAACAAGCAGACGTATCACCTGATGGTAAGCATTCGGCGTCACCCATGGACACCTGAAACACCAGAGGCGTTACAAGTGCGTTACCGGCCTTTTTGAGGATTACGAATTTGAGGATTGTTGAGGTTTCAGGGATTGGGTAAGGGGGGCAATTGGGCCTCTGGTAACCTCACTCACACGACGAAACACAGCACAAGCATTGTTTCACGTCGGTTTTCTGTGAGGCCGTGGTATCACTCCGGTCGAGCCGGCCCATTCGTGCCGAACTCTCCCGCACTTATTTTTAGCCCTGTGATTGGCTTCTCGGAGTTAATCAATCAATTTGAATCGCGGTAACGTAAAAAAAAAACTCGCACTGGGCCCTCAGACGTTGGCAAAAAGTGGCGGGTGCTAAGTTTTATATTGTCACTTCTGCCTATCTCACGATCGACGTTATTTTATGTTGCCATACTGAATATTATATATTAAAACGCGAGGAAAACAATTCAAGGTTACATTATATGATTAAATTATTCTCGGTAACTTATTATAAAGTACATACACCGACTTGTACATCATGTACAATGTATAATTATATTCTGCCAGAGTTATTAAGATTGGAAAAAAAATACATATATGTTGTATTAGATAAATCCATAGGTCATAAAACATTTTAAGTGTAGGAGAGCCATGCTTCGGCACGAATGGGCCGACTCGACCGGAGCGATATCACTGACGAGCAGAAAACCGACGTGAAACAATGCTTGCGGTGTGTTTCGTCGTGTGAGTGAGGTTACCAGAGGCCCAATTATCCCCCTTCCCCAATCTCCCTGAAACCCCAACAATCCTCAAATTTCTAATCAAAAGGCCGGAAACGCACTTGTAACGCGTCTGGTGTTGCGGGTGTCCATGGGCGATGACCGGCTTATACCATAAAAGACCTTTACGCTACGACGTATAAGAGCCGAGCAACAGAGTAGTTGGTTAGTTAAAGATACTCACAAGAGCCAAGGGTTCCTGTAGGCCCATAATTTAGTCGGTTTGTGGAACAGGAAGAGTGCAATAAAGCCCATCGTAACAAGCAACTGACACATCAAGATGGAGTACACCTGTAAACGAAACACACTTTTATTATACACTTAAGGAGCTTTTTTGAGTACAAGTATCTTTAAATTTTGGTCACAATTGGGATTTAAACATACCTAATTGAGATTTGAGACGAAATTGGTAATATTTTGAGAAAAGCATAATAAGACAAATTTGACAGCGGATCCTCTTTCTATTTTTATAAATAAATCGACACCACGCAGTGGAATTTACATTTATATCGGAACACGATACCGGGGAATAACGAGGATCGGACCAACACTTTGCAGGTACTACAAGGATCACACAAAACAACCGTCCCGAAGTAAAATGGTTCTGTCTCGGTAATATAACAGTTGTACAATTAAATGAAATGTTTAAAATAAAAAATAAGTGGTGAATCATTACAAAAAAACTAACTTCAAAACATACGAACTCGTACATTATTAAAACATCCATGTGATTCTCGAAGACGTATTTCTCGTCGACTCGTACGTGCGATGCTATTCGCATCGTACGAAATCGTTTTGCCACGTGACAAAAACGAAACAGAGGCCTTCTGGCCGGCGCTCTGATTGCCCGGCGCCAATGAACCATCCAATCAGAGCGCCGAACGCGTACTCGTTACGATTACTTTAAACGTAAAACATACTCGTACTAAGGCCACAGGTGTATAAATACTCAAATGCCTTTAACCTATTCACTCGAGTATTCAAGTCTTGGAGACCCCCAGGTTTTACCCTTTCGGAAACACAGACCCTGGCAAGGAGTTCCACTCCTTAAAGGTTGCAGGCGTCCACGTGTCTACTCGTTAGCATTCCCATCTTCTAAAAAAGGTAGTATGAATATTACCTTGCGGATAAATCCTCTTCGAATGGACTGTTCGGTGAAATCGAACCCTTTGACCTCTCCATCTTCTCCGACACCTTGGCCGGGCGGTGGCGCATATCCTGCTGGCTGAAATAGAAAAAAAATACACGTTATAAATGTACCTTAGTTTATAATAAAATGAGAGGAAGTATTTTTTTTTATTGTGGCTTAAAGACAGACCATCCTATGGGAGGATTCATTCAATGATTTCCCCATGTTTTTATAATAACTATCGTGAGACATACTAAATTAACTAAAACCGCGGGTTACTCACGTGAATATACTGAGAAAAGCTCTACTAGTTTCGAACCACAGAGGGGTTCTTCGTTATGAGCAGCGTGTACGGCCGCGGCGACGTCGCGCAGATCACTGAAGCTCGCTCTCGAAGTAACCCGAGATTTTTAGTTAATGTTTTTCCCCTCAAAATAATTATTTTAAAAACTATGTGTCAGAAAATACAACCTTTTATTATGTCGGTTAATTAAAATACTATAAAATCTCATAAGTGTATCAAACGCTTTTCTGAAAACTGCATCAATCGGTTCAGCCAACCGCAAGATTTTTTTTTTTTTATTATATTTGATGGGGCGACGTTTGACCACTACCTCGCCTGGTAGTAAGCTATGATGCAGACTACGATGGAGCACGTCGTCCCATAAGCAACCTATTCACTCGGGCCTTGAAAACTCCCAGGAAATACAGACTCTGGCAAGGAATTCCACTCAAGAGATAATCGCGTCCCTAAGTATATACAGGTCAAACTGAGACCTTTTTTTTTAAAGTCGGTTAAAAAGGTCAGTCTCTTTAATGTAGATTAATAATGATTGAATGGGAGAACCGTATGAGAGCATGCTTAAAACTCATATTTACCATCTCAAAGTCATCACTACATAGTGTAAAGTGTAAAACAAAGTCGCTATCCGACGTCTGTCTGTCCCTATGTATGCTTAGATCTTTAAAACTATGCAACGGATTTTGATGCGGTTTTCTTTAATAGATAGTGATTCTCAAGGAAGGTTTATATGTATAATTACATGCATATTGCACTCGTGCGAAACCTGGGCGGGTTGTTAGTATAATATATTTTGCCGAGTTATCGATGACCTATGTTCATCATTATTTACAGTCACGACATACATAAAAGACAATTAATACAATATATATGTATATATTGTATTAATTAATTAACGGCTTCGTAATTATGTTATTGCAGATGTCTGCAATAACATAATTACGAAGCCGTTAAGGCCAAGTGGCATCGATCGAGCCACACGGGTACATTAGTGATGGGTGGGCAAAAGTCAATATACATCAATGAACGGGTGTTGTAGTCAAGGTTGAGTTCGATATAACTTAAAACTTATGTTATCGAAAGTTCTAAATATGACAATAACTTGTGTGTGTTTATAACTATGTGTAGGCAGCATAGTATGAACGATAGGAATATTAAGTTAATTTTAAAATGCATCTGTTTACGTGTTAACGTGATAAAAATATACTTAAATTGGTTGGTCCTATATAATCTAATTAAATAAACTATTTCAGTCGATAATGGTGAGGTAGACAGAGGGCATAATTCAGGCAAATCGAGTTGAGAGACTCAATCGATGCTAAATATTTGACCCCTAAATTGGTTGGAGTAAAGGAGAAAAGAAAGGATTAAGGTTTATTAGGATCTGGCAATGAGTAGGTTTGCTAAAACATAAACTATAATAACAATTCATATATCCATAGACCGAGGAGCAGTCGTTGAGAATTGGAACATGCATCGTGTAGCGATCTAGTAAACACGAAATGAACGACCTACAAACGCTGAACTCAATAACTCAGTGTGCGACCGATTTTTAAGAAAATGGCCTACTCACATACGTGTGTATCAGTGTCATCTTATTATAGCGTTCTGTTTGTCCTGATGCTAGTATTTTAACTCGTCGAGTACCGGTTTTGTAGACACAATTATAGAACAATAGGTTGCGGTCACCGGTGACCGCTTGGTGTTTGACAGTTTAATCGAGTATTTAGTAAGTCTCTCTTTCTCTCGCGCTTGGATTTTCGGACACAAGCAAGACCGAGCTACTAACTGGACTAAATAAATATTTTGGATGTTTTTTTTTTAAACGGGATGATCATCGAATGACTGCTACTGATCTCCCGCCTGCGAGAGGAGGGAGGGAGTGTCGAATCTTACTGACTAAAAACCACCCCGTTCCTACTCCTGCACTTCGAGCCGGAGCTACGCTGACCAGTTAAGTCGTAATTTTGAACGTTTACTTTGCCTCTCTAACCATAATTTTGCATTTTTGAAGTAATAGAATCTTTACTGGCGGGACGAATTGGACATCTATGACAAGGATTGGCCGCAAAAAGCTTTACATCGAGAGGAGTGGGTGGAGGGTGTGGAGGCCTTTGCCCTGCAGTGGGACGATCATGGCTGAAAATAAAATAAAAATGAACAGAATCTTTCGTAGTTCCCGAGATCAGCGGGTCCAAATACTTCAGCATTATTATATAATTTCGCAGGTGTTTTACCGGTGACATATTTGTAGCAATATAATGGTTTAATAAAGCACGACTGCATTTTTATGTAAATATACTGGTTTTAGAGTTTCTTAATCTTAATTTGATTGTTTTAAATATTTTCCACGGTGAACCGGTATTCGATATAGGACATTTATTCTTTTGAATATTTAAATAAATAAACAAGTTTAGTTTGATATGGCGATATCATGCTATTCTTGGGTTTTGTGTTTACGTTAAATACAATTACCTAAATGCTTTGGTTTTGACTTTGAACTATGTATACTAGAGCTGTCTAAAGTTGGATGATAACATCCAAAAATGGTCATGGCCATTTAAAGAACCTGTTGTCTATTTGACATTAAATATAGGTTACATTACCATCGTATTCTTACGTAATATATTGTAATCTATAGAGAAAAATACATTTATTTTTAATTGAATTTGAATTTTTGCCTCAGATTAATTTGGACGATGATTATAAATGCCGACTTCAGCACTACTTACAGTACGTAGGTAGGACTCATTGAAAAATTAACCTTCCACGTCAGATAATAAATGAGAATCCATCAACCATAATGTTATAAGGCCAGTATTATAATTTAACTGAGTTTGGGGTGAATTATACGACCGGATGCGAAGATAGGATGGCGCCTAGACGTCTGGGGTACAAATCGATATGTTTACACAAAGAGAAAGCCAAAACTGTCCTTCCTAAGCTTGGATTACAACAGAAATGAGTCTGGTTACAATTTTAAGACGCGTTTTCAAACTTTTTTGGCTTTTGACTAAACTGAAGTACCTATAGCCGGAATATTGAAACGTTACTCAATTTTAAGTCGTGTTCAAATATCATGCCATCTCTGTCATTTTACAAAGAATTTGTAGAGATAGAACTATACTTAAGCACGACTTAAAATTGAGTAGAATTCAGTATTCCGACATATATCTAGTAAATTAGTATTTCGTGTTTTTAAAATTAGCGTATTTTTGAAGTCTAAGTCTAACCTAGACTAATATAAACCAGTTACTTATGTAATTCAGTTTAATTTAGATTCTAATCTTATGAGATATCAAAATTATTTTCGGTTGTTTTATCAACGATAGTGATTTTTTATTTTATTACCAATAGAACATCGTTAATTTTACATGACATACATAAAATTGCCTCTTTGATTCGTCAGAGAGGTGTCCAAAAGATACCAACTTTTCTCGATATAACAGACGAATTTTGAATTCATGAATGTAAGTGAATTCAGGGCAAAACTGCCATCCATCAGACACAATTCCAAACTCCGTAAATTATCATAATATTAAAGATTTTTTCTAATCCAAGTTTTGTTACGTATTAAATACACCGGATAGGTTCCAAAACATAATAAAAACATGTTATCTTCACCACAAAACTGTGCTATCTATGCCAAATACCTCCATAAACACGTTTCAACTTAGCACAAATCACAAAAACGCACTCAAAATAACTAGATTTTAAATCTAATTTCTAAAATTACTAGAAATTTCTAACAAAATCACCTGAGACATGATGATACACGTGTTGAATTTCTTTATAAACTAAGTAAGTTGTTATTCACCTATCTGAACGAATAGATAAGAGTTGCGAGGTATTGGATAGCGGTGGGTGGAGTCGAAACGATAACTTATCTTTTAGACTAGGCTAAAAAAACATCGATGCGATTAATCATTCGAATATCGGAAAAGCAGGATGCGCATATTGTGCGTACATACATTTAATAAATGTAATAATATACATAGATTCGTGTCGTTCCGTTGGTAAAGAGCAAATTGTCTAATTCAACGGTGGTGCCATCTAGGAAGCGCAAAAATGTCATTGGATTCAAAATCTGCGCTTGTGCTAGTACGGTCATTGGTCAGGTCATTCTTTGACAGGTGTCAAAGACTGACCATTGACCGTACTTCTAAGAAAAAAAACCACCTGTACTTGTACTACCTAGTACAAGTACTAGAAACAACGTTAGCTCTTTATACATATTAATGTAAGTATAGGGATAGATAGTCTTTGTTTTAATAACCTAATTGTAAGATTTATATTTGCATGCCAACAACGCCGAATGTATAAAGTTCTATCTTATTCTTATGTACCTATGTACATTCTAGCAAATAAATATATATAACTATTATATTATTGTCAGACAAGGGATAACCGACGTTAAGAAAGATTATCCTTTAACAGTTTTTTGTCGGCATTGAGAGGCTTAATAGTAAACCATTTTAAGTCCTGCACTGTGCTCCTTTGAAAATGGTAAATGCGTCTCGAAAGGAACCACCTCCCATCGAATAACTTCGCAAGCCAATACCCAAAATACTCATCGGCCGTAATTTTTTTACTTAAGTCTCCACCTAGTGGCGCTAGTGTCGAACTCACTTATTTTAAGAAAATGAATCTTTCAGATTCAGAAGGTATTTTGCAAAGTTATGATGATAACTTTGCAGTGGGCATTTATAGGCTGTTGATGAACAGCCTATAAATGCCCACTGCTGAGCAAAGCCTCTTCTAACAAGGAGAAGGTTTGAGCATTAATCACCACGCTTGCTCAATGTGGGTTGGCGATTATAAATTTATAAACTTAATAAGTAGAAATTATAAGCCCAGGTTTCCTCACCATGTTTTCCTTCACCGTTAGTCAGTGGTGTCTAGATAATCTTAGAAAGTACAAATTAATTTTGCAAAGTAACATAACATCACGCCTTTTATCTCCGAAGGGATAGGCAGAGGTGCACATTACGGCACATTAATACCACTGTACAATGTAACACGCACTTTTCACTAATAATGTTATGAGTCCCATGTAATAGGAGGTGAGCAAAGTAATCTTTCAGAATAGCAGTACTGATGCTCGCCAATCATTTACCAAGTGCTGAAACTCTAGTAGACATTAAGATGTTAATCACCAATAATAAAATCATTAGGGGTATACGTGGGCATGAAAAGGAGGATTTCTATTGGATGATTATAATGACCCCAGTTAAATGTGATGGTGATCTGTTACTGACACAATAGGTATTATTTGGCTAACATTTTCTCAGACATTTTTATCAGATCACGATAAGAAACTCAGTAATACAATATTAGGTGCCCCCTTATCTGTAATCTTATAGCAAAGATTACTTGTTTTAAGTATAGAAACCGGATTAGTTTTATGATAATGTTATATATGAATAATTTACATATCAACTTGTTTGTCTCCAAGTAGAGAATTTTGTTACGCGAGTGAAGTTGTTTCGATGAGGTATTCCTCGTAGCGCTCCCGTTTTGAAGCGCGTTTTATTCCTCTAAGCGCTCCCAAAAGTAGCGCTTTGAGGAACGATTAAAAATCTTAAAATTTATTTCCTCGAAGCGCTCCCATGATTAACTTTCGGATAGAGATGGGACTTTACTAATTGAAATTATCGATAAGAAGTAGGTAATAAGTAGAACACATTGTTATAATATACAACTAGCGGTCCGTCCCGGCTTCGCACGGCTTTGGTAATATTGCGTTTTTGTAGAAAAAGGGTTATTTATAATTTAAATTTAATTTTAGATACTACATTTTTTTATGGAATAGGAGACAAACGGGCAGACGGATCACCTGATGGTAAGCACCGTCAATGGACACCCGCAACATCAGAGGAGTCACAGGTGCGTTGCCGGCCTTTTAAAAAGGAATACGCTCTTTTCTTGAAGGTTTGAAGGTCGTATCGGTTCGGAAATACCACCGACGACAGATCATTCCACAGTTTTGCTGTGCGAGGCAGAAAGCATCGTGAGAAGCGCACAGTTGTGGCCATCTATATGGTGCGGATGTATATTCTGTCGTGAGGGTCGATGGCGAAAAGATGCAGCAGGTATCAGGTCAAACAATTCCTCAGAGCATTCCCCGTAGTATAAGCGATAGAAAATGCACAATGAAGCTACATATCTACGCATTGCCAAAGTGTCCAGCCGCTACATATGAATACATAAGTCAACTATAACGGCGTGAATCACAACTTTGTGATCATCCTACGTGGGTAGTCGACCTACGCAGGCGTAATGGGCTTCCCAACTACTAAGTTCACGGGAAAAATATAGGTTCTTGAACTACTCACGAGTCTAAATCCGCCTAACTGCATTCAAAAGAATTAACGTGAAAGTACAGTTTGGGTTGAAACATGAAGATTGTCCTTAGTCAATTCTACATTTTTCACGACCACCAAACGTCATAAGGTAGCCTACTGGATTTGGTAAGGCAAAATGAAAGTATTCAATGAATTTCAAATTATAATGAGAGATTGATATTGTAATGAGTGCTTTATAACCTTGAAACAACGAAAAATAGGGTAGACGCCTAATATTTATTTTAACCGTCTTGTAGATTATTTTAATTCATTAGACACGTATTGTTTATTTTCTTATAGAAACGAATAGTTCCGCTGATATATTGATTTGAAATGTCGCGTGACGTCACTTCTATGTACCTACATTTTTTTATTTGAAATGACGTTTTAGCCCCAACTCCTAAACTTTGATTCGTTTTATCTAAGTATTGTTTTATAAAATACGTGTCTAATATTGTTTCATTACCTAAATAATTAGATTTTTAATTTTCATACCCTGTCATCATCCCAATTACCGGGATCGGCTCAAATCAGTGGGTTAAAAAATATAAGGAACCCTGTAAGTTACCATTTTTAATACTGATGCAAGCCAAAATGTATAAACTGGCGTTCCCATCCCCAATCTCTAAAAGGACTATTGTGTAATAATGTAAGAATAACCATGCAAAGCTGGGGCAAATAGTTAGTGTATTTCAAGCGAACAGCGCATTTCAACAAACAGAGCATCAGTCTCCAGCTGTTATACCGATAGTGTTTAAAATTAGTATGAAAAATAGCTCTGATTGGCTATAGTAAAGGCCTTGAACTCAAAATATTACAATATGGCGTTTGCATGTGTTTATTATACGTCGATTAAGGTTGCAAAAACGATTTCATTAGTTTTTACTGAACTGTATTGGGTAATTGGGCCTCCGGTAACCTCACACGACGTGAAACAATGCTTGCGTTGTTTCACGTCGGTCTTCTATGAGGCCGTGGTATCACTCCGGTCGAGTCGGCCCATTCATGCCGAAGTATGGCTCTCCCACACTTAAAACGTTTTATGACCTATGGATTATAAAACTTGATCGCTTGCTTACCTCACCATATCCAGCGCCATATGCCGGGTATCCTTGTTGAGGGGGTGGCGGGTACCCCTGCTGAGGGAATCCTCCCGGGGGTGGATAGCCACCTTGTGGATACCCGCCCTGTGGAGGCGGATAACCTCCCTGCGGAGGCGGATAACCTCCCTGTGGGTATCCAGCTTGAGGATATCCGCCTTGTTGCGGATAACCGCCTTGATTTTGATCTAGAATAATTAAAACAAACAAATATAAGTATCGACAAACACAGGAACACAGTCATCACCGCCATTTTTACTACGTCACTAAAAAAATAATAATAGGGTGATAAATAGTGTTTTGTCCTATTTTAATTGCAGTAAAATACAAATTATTACATGTATGTATATTCAGTAGGACTCGGTGGATGTCGCTGCATGTATAGTAACGTAATAAATTAAAAAAAAGCATTTGTACACAAGGTCAGTATAAAGTACCTTGAAAACATACGATTATGTAACTTGTGTATATTAATTAAAATCTTTGTTGTAGCGTGCAAATTCATATCTGTTAAAGCGCATACTGCTTAAGGTTATGAGCCCCGGTCGCAGCAAAACTAGTCGAGCGCTCTCTAACTGGGTTTCACACGTTAAATTAAGTTAGCACCTATATCAAACGATATTTATTATAAAAATATTGTGGCACGTCAGGTAGGTACTATTGTTTTTCCAAAAGTAGACCAGTCGAGATTCATCCAAACGATATCTATTGCATTTTAAAAGTAAACAAAGTTATATTAAGATTTTATAAGGAAGGTACAATAGTTGGCTAAAATCCGTTCTTTTTTTTTAAGAAACAACTAGAGTTGTCAGTAGTATAGGCAGACATAAGGCCAATTAACATCTACTCGATAAATTGAAGGTGATGTCACTATTATAATGTACCAGGAAGTATCATGATATAGGCATATATTAAATTATTATTAAATAATTATCTTTTTAACAGAGATAAATCTGATTAGAATATATTATGTATATATGTATATATTTACAGTAAAATTATTAACGTTAATTTTCTGAATAAAAATTAGGTTTCAATAAAGATTTTTAGACATAAATTTAAAGGGCAGTTATGACTGTGGTTATTAAAACAGTTTAGAGCTCCAAAGTTGCACATGTTTTCTGAAATATATTTAGTAGAGAGGATTATTCATACCATATTTCTGAAAATCTATGAAACTTAGAAGTTCGTCTGTTCTTTTAGATATGAGGGATTTAAATAGGATTATTTATTTTAAAGTAATCAACAAAGCAGCTAAGCCAGATTAAAAGTCTCACTCAATATCTTAAAATAACGTTTTTGTTTACAGAAATAAATAAACAATACATAGGCCATGGATAAGGGTGTAAAATGCTTGTTTTGAATCAAAATAGGTACTTAACAATTTTAACAATTTTTACTTTCCTCAAATCTTTTTGAGCAACATTTTATGATGAAGTTAGCTACTTACACCCCTTTTCATAACACAAAACACTGAACAATAAATAGACAATTATTTATAGACATAGGTAACACAATATTGAAGCTTAAAAAAATGCTAACGTACCTTTTGCCTCTGACATTACATTTATTACACTGATTTTAGACGGAAATTTGACAGAACTAAAATGCACAGATAATAATAGTCGCTATACAGAAGCTCTATGACTTTATGTACACTGCATATAGACGTATGTGTAGGTGCAGTGTTTTCGTTATTTGCAAGTTTATTTCGGTTGTAGTAAGGTGCAAAATAGAGCGTACTATCTTCTTATAAAAATGAATCGCTGAATGTGTTGCTAAGCGCAAATTTCGAGAGCAGCTGAACCGAATATGTAATGTCTATTTTGTTAGGTTTGTTATTGTTAGAAGGTTCATGTGTAAGAAAAAATTGACAACGATGCGCAGAAAAATGTCCAAGGCTAAACAAAGTTCGCGAGGTCCGCTAGTAACTTATAGATCTAGGTGGCGTGTGAACGATAACGAACGATTTAAATTCTCGGGGTTCCCCGTACATAGACACTGACGCCGCCATCTTTGAAACATAAGAGGTTTGTTTACATTTAGAGGTTATGACATTTGAGATTTCCGCTTCTTGCGGTCCTAATACACAGGTAACTTCAGATTATTTAATATAGATTTAATAAACGCCGGACATAAAAATAAAAGCCTAGTGCCCATTTTCTCATTAAATTTCACCTATCTTCCACCTCCATTCTCGTTTTAATTATTCATCTTATACCTCATATTATTTTAAGGCGGTTATTATACTAAAACTTACTTGTAAGCGTAATGAAATCTTTTCTGAAGACCGCATTGAAATCGATGCAGCCAATTGTAAGATAATCGCGGACATACAATACATACATAGAGGCCTACAGAGAACCTCCTTTTTAAAGTCGGTTAAAAAGCAAGTTTATCAAATTAGGTGCAGTCGTTCGGTAATTGTGGGCGAACATAGGTACATTTCAGTGATTTATTTTGATAACTAGATAAGCAGTTACCATGTACCTAATGTACACACGTATACCGGTAATCCCTTTACGTGCAATGAATCGATTGCTTGATAACGACCTATCTTTATTATCAATGACGAAGTTGAAATTTGTACATAACAATTAAAATATTTTAGATACCTAAATGAAACAAGATGAATTTACCTTCTTTCTCTTGTCAATCGTAAGTTTCTACAAATCAGTGATATTTGTTCTACTTTCCTTGAGCAGACATCATGTTACGTAATTAAATGAATCTTGTAAGAAGTATAAGCAGTATTCTTGTAAAGCTACGTCAATACGAGTCGGTGAAAGTATTTAAGTCGACGATGACGTATGTACAACGTAAACAGTATCGCAATGAGTCACCATTGAACTTCGATCAAAAATACATGCGACTTAACGATCGATAACATATCTACAAATATTAATGCGACGAAATGTAGTAGACAGTTATTTTAAAGAATACAGAAACATGCCAAGAAATTTTTAGAGTACTAAATCTATGCAGATTTGGTAGGTAAGTACATCCTACTTCCTATCTTATATTATTATATAAAGCGAAAGAGTTTGTTTGTTTGAACGCGCTAATCTCCGTCATTTCAAGTCTGATTCGAATAATTATTTTTTTTTTGGATAACGCATTTATCGAGGATGGCTATAGGCTATAAAACATCACGCTACGACCAATAGGAGCTGAGCAGAGCGTGTGAAACCGCGCGGAAGTAGCTAGTTAATATTATAAATGCCAAGGTTTGTGAAGATGTGTGTGTGTATGTGTGTGTGTGTGTATGTGTGTGTGTGTGTGTGTGTGTGTGTGTGTGTGTGTGTGTGTGTGTGTGTTACTCTTTTATGTAAAAACGGCTGATGGGATGAGATGAAATCTAGAACAGGGGTATATTATGGTCTGGAATTACACATAGGCTACTTTTTATCCCATGGGAACGCGGGCGAAACCGCTGGCAGAAGCTAGTACTATGAATTAGATAGAAGATAGATTTGACAGAAATTGTACGCTTCAAGGCAAAACATAGACAAACTCGCTGTATTGTATCTATGTCAATCGTTCAAGCAACTTATAAAATCTATGTTTACAAATAAATAACCTATTTCATTTTTATTTTACTACGTTTCTACATTTGCCAATGACACACATGAATTGAAAAAAATATCTTGGTGGCGCCACCTACGTTTTCGACATTTCACTCGCGGTTTGTCTATGGCCGGGAATAACCGATGCGCCACGTGTAAAAAGGTCAGATGAAGGACATGCCATGCAGTTCCAACAAAAAAAAAAAAACAATATTTTCGTTCTTAAACTGTCAAACACCAAGCGGTCACCGGTGACCGCAACCTATTGTTCTATAATTGTGTCTACAAAACCGGTACTCGACGAGTTAATGGCGTCTTGTATCGATCTATTTTTGAATTGGAGCCAAGATGAAACTCAAAGTCTTACGCCGGAATACTGAAACGTTACTCAATTTTAAGTCGTGCTTAAATATCATGCCATCTCTGTCATTTTACAAAGAATTAGTGGTGACAGAACTATACTTAAGCGCGACTTAAAATTGAGTAGCGTTTCAGTATTCCGGCATTAGTCTTTCATTTTTACATTTAGCTTTACAATTTAAGTCGCATTATCTACGCCTGACCGTACTTTGTAATAGGCATAGTAGTGTCGTGTGGGTTTACTCGTTTCTACGCAAATTATTTTTCTAAGCTGAAATATGAGTAACTTAATTAAATAGGAAACTTGAGTGACGTTAAAGAGGACGTAATATATTATATCGAAAAGGAACTCTGTGGTAAGGTTATGGGCGAAGCGCTTATTGTTATCCGAATAAGGTTGAATTTTGTCCAAAGAATTTCCATATTTTTATTATTATTATTGTGATTACGTACGTATTTCGTCAGTATAAAATACCCGTACCGGTAAATGTGGCGATATTTAAATGAGTATTGTAATTACTGTGATATTTAGCTTAATTACCTTCCGTTCGATTTGTCATTTGTTATGATAGGTATAAGATATTCAACAATAAAAACACCAATTATGGTCCATGTACGTTGAAATGTACATATTGTTATAAATATGGACATAATTCATTTATATTTACATTGGCACAACGCATGGGGGAAAAGGAAATGAAAATAACAAACAATGTAGGTATCATGATGACTGTTAGCGGGGAATTTTGCTTGGACCAATTCCATGAAGCAAGCCATATATAAAAAGGTCCTAATAATAATCGCATATGGCCGCTGAATGCTATTTTGTAACTGTCAATTCGAATTTTTGAAATGAGCTCGATCGCATTCTCGCTCGTCATTGGTCGACGAGATTATTCTCACAACCAATGATATGGTGCACCGCGATCGAGTTTATATTATGATCTTTTGAATTTTTCTTCTTCTTAATTATAATTTTTTTTCGAATCTTTGTCTGCACAGGTGACGCGGTGGCTGGGCATACGGCTGCCGAGCACCGTATCATGTACTCATGTCATGTTATAATAGGGTAGATACCTAATTTTTATTTTAATGTCCGTCTGGTAGATTATTTTAAATCATTAGACACGTATTTTTTATTTTCTTACAGAAACGAATACTTTCGACGATATATTGATTTGAAATGTCGCGTGACGTCACTTCTATATTGTACGTTTTATACGTAGAAATGACGTTTTAGCCCCCACTCCTAAACTTTGATTCGTTTTATCTAAGTATTGTTTTGTTATACGACAAAATAAAAAAAATACGTGCCTAATATTTTTTCATTGAGTACCTAACTTACGGACTAATTATATTTTGAATTTTCATACCCTGTCATCATCCCTATTTTATTCAATCCAGAATGGCATACGTTATTTGTTTTACACCTTGCACTCACATATAAAATAGTCGTGTCCGTAACTCCGTAAGTAATTTTTCACAGTATTCATACGACTAGTTATAATAGGATTATCTAATGTAGCTCATTGACGTTAAAGGACGAGTGGGAGGTCGTTGATATGACGTATACCACAACTATACGTCTTTCATTCCCCGAAGCCAGAAGAAGTAATGTTATGAAATTATGAGTACCGTATAAAAGGGTGCAAGGTGCGACTTGTCTACCGTGCTACTAGACACAGGGAACCTTTGAAAACCCCACATTATTTCATCCGAGTTAAATATTGGAGACCTCTTGCTTGGGAATCGCACTGACGTTTTCGCGGTATAGGTAGAGTATAAGGTAGTTGTTAGGATGAGTGATATTAATAAGTGCAGAGAGCGCCCCAATACTGAAAGGCTGCTAGACAAAATTACGTAGTCGCGGATAACCTAACGGGTAACCGGGGCTCCGGTTCGACGTGCAGGAGAAGGGGGTTTTTAGTCAGTAAGAGTCTGACACTCCCTCCCGCCTCACCCAGCCGGGAGCAGTCATTCGATGATTTTCCCCCCTAAAAAAAGGCAAAATTACGCAGAGGCACGTGATTGGTGCCACGATAAATATGGTGGCTACACTTGAGAATCATAATAAAAGAGAAGGCAATAAACTCGATCAGGAATATAGGTCTTTTACAATTGACTGATGAGAATACATTCCTGTGGTGAGGAAGTAAAGACTCGAAGTGGGACTTGTGGTTATTAGCCACAATCAATGAATATGCGGCATTTAGATAATGGGCATACCTAAAACTAACTTCTACGGAGCATAATAACGTGGAAATGTTATGAATGGTCTCATTATGAAATTAATAAAATAAACAAATGATATGACACTAGCGTCTAGCGACCCGCTCCGGCTTCGCACGGGTGCAATATGCATGTATTATACATATAAACTTTCCTTTAGAATCCTTCTATCTATTAAAAAAAACCGCATCAATATCCGTTGCGTAGTTTAAAGATCTAAGCATACATAGGGACAGACAGACGGCGGATAGCGACTTTGTTTTATACTTGTAGCGATAACAACACGAGACGTAGGAAGTACATAGAATATAGATTATAGCTTTTGTCAGCTGTTCCCGTGGGGTAAAAAATAGCCTACGGTCATTGCAGACCATAATCTATCCCTGTTCCAAATTTCATGCTGATCCCTTCAGCCGTTTTGACATTAAAGAGTAACAAACACACAGACACACAGACAGACACACACATCCTGACTAACATTCGCTTTTATAATATTAGTACGATAGTACGAAGTAGGATTCGCCTGGCTATTTTCCAAATAGATTTTTAGGCACAAACCGTTAATGGTTAAGAGTGAGACAGTCGTTTTTGGGTGAAGCTATCTATAGTTACCTTCCAGGGCCTCTAGCCAAACGCCACTTTAGCGATTGTCTACAGAGAGAGTAGAAATCAAAATGTATGGGGATAACACTGACAAGTGTCAAAATTTACGTCAATTCCATATAATTTGGTTTTCTATTCTACATGTAGACAAGTGCTAAATGGCATTTGGCTACAGGTGCTGGACATATTATGTATACGTCAGTAGTCAGTATATGAACCACGTATGTACATACCATATAAATACATAATACCTAAATAGATGTGTGCTGTTGATTGTACGAGTACCTACCTAGCTAAGTACTGAACGCTAATGTGAATGCTTATTATTGATTGGAATTTGTGGAGCTTCTAATACCAATGTTTTTAGTTTATTTTCAAGTGAATAGACCAGACAATTTTATGTTCTCTGAACGCTAATCCTTAGTATTGATTTGAATTTACGGAATGAGAAAATGGGAAAGCGGACTTCTAATATTAGAAAGATTTATTTTGTTAACTATACAAGAACATTGACATATGTCATACACAACAGAGATACAATGTACCTATTACGTAAATTATCATAACAATAGTCGTGTTGCAAGTGAGAGGCGGCAAAAAGATACAAGTGCCGACGACACGACTTGCCGGTAATATGAAAATATTACCACCGTGATATTACCGTGCTTGCTGTGTGACAGGAAGGACCAGTTAATAATAAACATGACATTTTACATGATACATCTGAAATAAATCCAATATCAATATCTTTCCAGTTAGTTAGTGAATCCATTTTAGTTTTAAAAGCATTTTTTAAACGCTTACATTGTTAACTTTAAGCATATTGGAAGTTTCAAATTAAACTGCCCAGTCAATCCTCAAGTCTCTCCAATTTAGACCTTTTTTCCTACGTTTAGAGACTACTTTTGTATTAACAAATGTTGTGGATTTTTCATAATCGGGAAAGAAGTAAATTTTTTAATAGTAAATAACTTTCTGGCATAATCTGTTGACCCGGAGTTGCAAATAACCGAACGAGTTATCAGAACTTCAGAGCAAAGCAAGTAGGAACAGGGTGGTTTTTAGTCAGTGTAAGAGTCTTCGACTCTCTCTAGCCTCATTCAAGGCGGGAAAAGTCATAGGATCATTCCCCCCCTCAAAAAATAATCTGCTGAACCGACTGGTGAATCTCAGTATGGAAATAGATGGGCTTCGTTATGAAATATTGATAGAGGGGGGGATTTCATACTTAAAAAAGTAACAGTATTATTATTATGTATGCAGTAATGTACAATCTTGTATTTTAGTTCTCATGTGAAAGTTATTGTAAGAAGTTTGTCAAAAAAATGAAACTATGTAGTAATTTTTCTGAATGTATCATTGTATCGACTACCTATGTATAATTACATTATAGGTGTGTACCCATTATCATAGTGAATGATACAGAAATAAATATAAATAAATGCACTATGTAGATAAAATACATGTTATCATTTCTGACGACTTATATAATGACAATAAAAGGATAAAGTTACCATTATCATTATCAGTTGGTCTGATTCATCAACGAAGAACATTTTCTAGAAACTTGCACAACTGTTGACGTATGTGTGAGACATACAATTGTCACCTGATATGATATATACAGACAATTGCCAATATATGAATAATATGTCAGATAAAGAATGAAATATTGTCATTTTATCTTTGTAGCGAGAAGCATAATATGTTCAGGGTAATTTTAAAATTTAATTATGATGTTGTTTACAGGAAGATAATTTGAATATTTAATAATGGATCCAAAATCCCAGTGTATTTACTATTGTATCAACTCTAGTATGTTCTATATTGCTCATAATAAAATAGAACCGCGAATATTTTGCCCACATAAATGTCGTATAATGTTTAGTACATACAGACTCCAGCTTAAAAACCATCCTGTACTTTCGAATCTTTAATAGACTTCCAACTTTATAATTTTGTCATAAAGTAAAAACTCCACTGAACAAATTCGACAGTTTAAGGTAGCTGACAACTGTACTTATTGTACATCTTTTACTATTATAGAGGTATAAAGCGGAAGAGTTTGTTTATTTGTTTGTTTGTCTGAACGCGCTAATCTCCATATCTACAAGTCTGATTTGAATAATTCTTTTTGTGTTGGATGGGGCATTTATCGAGGATGTCTATAGGCTATAAAACATCACGCTACGACCAATAGGAGCTGAGCAGAGCGTGTGAAACCGCGCGGAAGTAGCTTTATTATAACAAGGTAACGGTCACAATAATGAAGAAAACATGTAACTTGTAGGACAGACATAGAACATAGATTAGCAAGTGCCGGTGCTAGGTGCAATGCGACATATATTCTCAATTATATGATAAAAGATTTATTTGATTGGAGTATTTACATAAGGAAAATAAGTGGATAATTAGTATCAATAGTTGAAACTTAGTGCTGATAGTACCTAGAACCTTTTGTATGTTGCCTCTGAGAGACCATACCGTTTTAAATAAATTAAAAATAATTCTTTAATGAAGGGTTTTGCAAACTATGGGTCGCGACCTATTGGTGGGTTATAAGCAAATGTTTAGTGGGTCATGTCTGTATGACCCACTAACCAACTGTTCTATACTCTACTTTTCATGTTGATAACAATAACAACGGTAATAATTACCCAAAAGTGAGTCCTGAGTTTGGTAACTTGATTTAGATAGGTCTTAGTCCAGATAAGTTTGGAAATCACTGCTTTAAACTGTCAAACACCAAGCGGTCACCGGTGACCGCAACCTATTGTTCTATAATTGTGTCTACAAAACCGGTACTCGACGAGTTAATAGGTTTAACCCTTTGGGCACCGTCATTAAAGACACAATTAAAGAACAACACAGTTTCAACTGTCAAACACCGCGAGGACACCGGTGACCGCAACCTATTGTTCTATAATTGTGTCTATAATGACGGTACTCGACGAGTTAAGTAAACTATGATCATAAACATCCAAAACTCTCAATCCATGTCCCACTAGTACACAAAAAAATAGCACAATTTATTAAAATGTTATGCTTATGAGCATTGTTTCAACTGTGATAAGGTTATCCACAGAGAGCAGAGAATAACCTGCCCTCGAATCAATTTTTTTTGTAATTTCCAACTTAATTGCTTAACAATATGGTTGAAAATCGTTGGCAAGTAAGTATTTGTTGATGCGTTGGTATACTTTTATGAAAAAATCTTTTATCACACAATTGAAACTAAAGTGCAATTATTTAAATATCAATTATTGACCTCCGGGATAAACACCTGGGTTCTGCCACATTGTCCAGAGCTGCAGATAGAAAAAAAAATATCTATAGTTAAATATATTAAAAAAGATACATACACATTGTGTTGTAATTGGGTTGTTCTTTGGAATTAAGGCTTTCGGTGGCCGTTTTGAAGGTGGTACAGCACTTACACACTATTGAACTGAAACAAAGAAAAAATAAGTGTTTTTATTTTATAGATCAGGAGGCAAACAATATGTCATCTCTATCTAGTCTAATATTATAAAGCTGAAAATTTTGTTTCTTCGAACATGTTAATATCTGGAACGACTGGACGAATTGCTAATACGCTAAATGCCCACGGGTGGGCCGTGTGCCTTTGTTGCCACCGTTGTGGTACAAAAAAAAGGATAATTATTTTCCATTTATCAAGGAACAGCTACATCATGCTCTGACCAATAAGAGCCGAGCAGCAAGTGGAACTGAGTGGAAATAGCTAGTATAGAATATTTGTAATGATTAAAAAACTTGGCAAAGGCAGGATACTTTTTCCTGAATTTTATTTTTATTTTTAATTGAAAGAAAGAAGAGTTTTTGCAGTTTCATTGCATACATTTCCAAGTGCTTACAAAACAATATTTTGTTTACTGTAGTAGTGTTGGAGGACGTACAGAGATAGGCACCTAGTAAAAAAGATCTAGCAAGGAGTATTGAATGCAGTGTATACAGCTATTGATAGCTATTAAATTAAGTAATTTAATAGCTGTTAATTTAATAGCTACCCAATACTATGAAGTATATTAAAAACAGATTAATATAACAAAACTGGTGTCATTTTATTCTGCAATTAGAGAGTAAATTATTATTAGTTAGTTTGAATACAATTTTTTTATATTTGATGGGCCAATGTTTGGCCACTATATCGCCTGGTGGTAAGCGATGATTAGACTTGGAAGAAACCCAATAATTGATTTATTTCTATTAAATAGACTAAATAAATAATAAAGCACTTTGCCATATCACAAACTCATATGCAAACTCTAGAGTACCATTTATTAGGGTTAAAATCTTTTCCTATTGGAAACTCAGTTTACAAGAAAAAAAAAGAAATGATTTATTTGAATTAAGAATGACAAGTAAAAGCACCATTAGGGAGCCTATTTAAAAAAATAAAATAGGTATCATATTAATCATTTGCCTAGCATTCAGGAGTACCTATGTATTATGTATGTATGTTTTACAAATAATATTATTAAGAAATGTGTGAATCAGTACCTAGCTTTGTGAAGAGTTTCGATAAGATCTTACACCTTGAATTTGTACCGTACCTATCTGGTAAGACCGATTTCAGTTTGATTTCACTGAAATTAGTATAATTTATGGCTTCTTAGAATATTCATTAAGTACCTACTAATATTTCATCGATGTTAACATTTGACATGGTTTATTTTAATTTCAGTAACTAGTAAATATTGAAAGAAGTAAACAGTCTTGTTTTGATTAGTTTTTTAAATAAAAACAATTTAAATATGGTGCAATAGGCAAAATATTTATGGTGGTTTTGTAATTGCGTACATCTTGTATTATAATAAGACATACGGGAAAATTATTATGAAAATCGTCTATAAACTAAATTACATAACGCGAAGCGTTTTCGAAAATTTTCTGAATACGAAATACACCTTTCGAAAGTACTAGACGTTTTACAAAAACGTCCAATGTCGCGAGAACAAGGATCGATCGTGATATTTAAGTAAATATTATGAAATTGTACCTGGTATTGGAATGGAACTTTCGTTTTCTAAAATAACACAGATCAACACTAGTAAATCAGCACGTAAATATTTTCGACAAAATTCACTTTTACAAGGCTGCAATTTTCACACGACGACGTTACGATTTACTTTTTGATTCACTCAATGAAATTATTATGAAAACGAACGCTGACTCAGACTGACTGAATGATTGTGAATGAAACTGTATTCTTTAGAGATTGACTGAATGAATGAGAATGATAAAATGATAATGAAATGAATGAAAAGTGCAATAGTGTAGTGACTACCAAGTAGAGATGAGCATTTGTCTGAAAATTCATCCATTAGAGATGGGCGATTCGGAATAATTTGGATAAATGCTCAAAACGAATAAATAGGTAGGTATTCGGAGTTTGGGTTCACATTTTATTTATAAATTGTACATGGGGTTAATTTGTAGCAGATATTCGAAATGTGGTGTTTATTTCACTACCATCGGTGTGATAAACTGATAGACTTAGATAAATGACATGATGTGTTAAAGTATGGAAGTAAATATTTACAAATTAAAATAAAGTAAAGCTAACATTTAAAATAAAAGAAAACTAAAAATGACTATTTATAGAGAGCACCGAAAAATTTAAATTTGTCGACGTCTATAGGGAAAGTACCTAGAAGGCTGGCAGCATATTGCCACGCTGAACGCTGTAAGGCAATGCTTAACCTCCGACCAAGAACAGCCCTGTGATCACGAGTAACTTCGACTCGATTTTGATATATCCTTATTATCCTTACTAATATTATAAATTGGATAGTGAGTTTGTTTGTTTGTTCCGCTTTCACGCTAAACTGATTGCTTTGAATTTTTGCTGGCGTAAAGTTAGAAGTCCGGATTAAATAATAGGGTACTTTTTATCACGGAAAAAATGATATTCCCGAGGAAAAACAAAAGTATTGGCATAGATGGCGCTGTGTGTATTGGTATAATATGTCACATGGGCTACTTTTTATACTTTTGTGACGCGAGCGAAGCCGCGAGTAGAAGCTAGTTCTTAAATAAAGTATGGGCACTTGGACACCACGGACTTAACGTTCTGACCCACATGTTTAATGAATTATATGTATATTAGTAGAAAATTTTTTAATGTACCACTCGAATGTTCATATTCTGTGGTACTTTAATTTTAAGTTGTCATGTTTTCGCTTATCTTAATCTTAAGTGAATTGTATACTTTTTTTATGAGAAATTAATTCTTAAAAATCATTAATCACTGCACGGTTGGTGCGGAGGCTGGGCAACCGGCTGCCGTGCAACGTGTCGCGGGTTCGATTCCCGCACGGAACAACACTTTGTGTGATCCACAAATTGTTGTTCCGGGTCTGGGTGTCATGTGTATGTGAACTTGTATGTTTGTAAACGCACCCACGACACAGGAGAAAATCCTAGTGTGGGGCAACGTTTTTTAAAAAAAAAAAAAAAATTAATCGAATACGAATATTTATCCGTAAAAACAAGCTTTAGTCTCCACTTTCGACACTACTAACAGTTACAGTGACAGTGTCACTGTCATTTTCACACAATAACAAAATAACCTGCAAAAGTCCAAAACGAATTTGTATTAAACAATTCAACTTTAAAATTGAGTAGTTTCAGTTGAAACCATGAGTATTTTATTAAAGAACATAGTTATATTACCCCAAATACAATGTAAGATAATTATGTAATCATTTTCAGTGATCGTCTGTCGGTTAAACGTGATCACTTTGTTTAATTTCGACATTTTGTTTCAGTGGTTAGTCGTGGGTTGAGTAGTACTCCTATTTTGCTATCTAAGCATTGGAGAGAAGAACGAGGTTTATCCATTAATAGGAATGCGGAAGGAATTTTAACGGATGCTCCCGACTTCACCTATCTTGATGGAAGACCAACCCCACTCTTGGTAACTATTAAATTTATACCAATATTAATATAAGTATGTCTTAACTGTTATTATGAACCTTTGATAGAATTCCAGATTAGTCTCTTGCCGATCAGCACATTATCATAAAACTTATCATAAATTAGTAAAGAATTGAAGAAAAAATGTATGCAATGTTCCTATAATTTTAACAATGTGTAATAAGATTTTTTATATCAATTCAATAAATATTAAGGTGTAAATATTTTTTTTCGTTTTTATTTATTTATATTTATTATATTAATTTTAGTTTATAATGTAAATATTTAAATTTAATTATATTTTCTCTCTGATAAATGTAAAGCAGTAATTATAAAATATATCAAACCCTAATGCTTGGTATGATCTATTTTCAGCAAAAACAAAAGAAAAGAATGTTGCGACAAAGAGAGTTTGCGTCCAAAATTGTTGAAATGTGTTCCGAACTTGATTTTGCTAAAGAGAGATACAACTATATAGAAGCATCAAAGGAGCAAGAGAGACAGAATGTCATTGCAAACAGACTGAAGACCAAAGGAAATGCACTAAACAAGAAGAAATAGATTTAATTTAATATTATGTATGTAGGATAGTTGTAAATAAAGTTTTTAGATTTATTTCAATGTTTTTTAATAAATCATATAAATCTATATAATAACAATGAATTTCTGTATGTTAGTCTCACTAAATCTCAAGAACGGCTGAACCGATTTCACTAATTTTGATCTTGATGTTCATGGAAGTCCAAGGAAGGTTAAAAGGTGAGAAAAGAAATTTAGGTGGTACGAAGCTTGCTGGGTCAGCTAGTAAGAGTATAATGGTTATGTAGTCATAACAAAAAAATCTTCTGAGATAAGACTAATTGTAAGTCAAGTTTAATAAGTAATTGTTTGGATTAGATACCCAAATCAAAATCTAGCAGAGTTGAATTTGAAATTCTTACCAGTGGAGTCTTCTACTGCTTTTTTTAATATTGCTCCACACATGGAGCATTTATTTCTTTTTAAAAGGTCGACAACGCATATGAGACTAATGCAGTTGCAGGTGTGTCCATGAGCGGCGCTGATCGTGTCTTGTATCGTGTGGGTGTTTATAAACATACAATTTCACATACACATGGTACCCTTGTATTGGTACAAGGCAATACGCACCCTCTTACACAACACTAAACATCACGGCGGAAAGGAGATGTTATCGGGTGTTCACTCCTGTGAAAGCGGTGCAATGTGCAATGTAACATCCAATAAGTAACATACTTAGACGCTCCAATATGGTTATTATGGGAGTAATGTATTATGGCTATGTTTATACTGATAATCATGATTATAAGGTGCTTGCCCATGTCCTCTATGATGCTGTATCAACATGCCCACAGCGGTGAATGGAACCGCTAGAGAACATTTTAAAATTAGCGCCTGATCTGGACGCAACTTTACATGAGACTCAGCATAAATTATTGATGTAAGCTGGGCTTTAATTTTAATTTCCCTTTTTCTTTGGGAATTAAAATCTGTACATAATGGTAGGATTAATTAACGATACACCAAACGCCATCTATTGTGTAGTATAAGTACTAGTGTCATTATTCATTGCTTAAAGCAGTCTCATAAGTTTCGGTTCCTACCGTTATTCGTAGATGGCACTAGGACCTTAAAACGATAAAAATGAATACAATAAGTTTTTCTATTCCATAGTAAAATCACATTGTGTGAAATGTCTCGGTTTCGTGATCTGTCTGATCGTTTATCACCTTATATTTATCCCTAGAATTAAATTTTGGAAGCTAATGGTAACTGTCTAAAACCGAGCCGAACTTTCCTTGATTCAAAACAAACCTACTTTGCCCACCCTGAGAATTAAACACGGAGCTCTTTGGCAACCATGCACATCCTCGACCAAGTTGGCAGTTTACCTTAAACTGTTACCTAACTGCGTACCTCTAGAATCTATTTTGAACATTACATCAATTAGTTAAAGGGTTAGAACACCCGGCTGTACGAGCTATGTAGAACCAATATAAACTGACCGTTGAATGTACGGAAAGATCATACAATGCGAGACCATCATAAATTGGTTTGTGTAGGTTCTTGAGTAGCTGGTACAAGATAGTTTCATCGCAAGGATGCGACGGCGCGGTAATTAAAATCTTAACAGGTTAACTCGGACGCAGGACCAGACTTAGTATTTTAGGCTATGCATTTTACATCTGCATGTAGGAGATAAAGTTATTTGTTATTTTTTATTTGAAATGTCACAATTATTTTTGTACTACCTCCGGTCTAACAATATTTGGGTTACACTATTTTCTCTCCACTTTGTGGGTGGATGGTGCTATAAAAAGGGATGCACTGTGTTTTCGACGGATCAGACGCTGTCCAGTAGTGGACACGGCACCACGAGTGCTCTGAACTGACAGGTATCTTCTCTTGTTTTCTTGTATAATATTTTCCCTGCATATTGTTAGGTTATAATTATAATGATAATTATAATGATGTTATTGTTATATTTCATTACAATGTGTTCCGGAAACGTTGCTAGGTTAAATACTGTGTGATTTTATTTTGCTTGATAATATTTACTGTTAACCTGTACCTACAATATTTGAATGTAATAAATGTGTTATTGATTTAAGTGATTTGAATATAGTGCACAAAACGTATTTATGCTTATTATTCTATCCTGAACGCCCACATACATATATAAAAATAAATCTCTTTTTCCCTTGGCCACGGCATCACGCGTGAATGGCTGGACCGACTTCACTAACTCTTTTTTGTTGTATTTATTATTAGGACAAGGTGCTTAGTACAGAAAAAGTGCTGGAAATCCTAAAACGGGATTGCACATAAATGTGAAGTCGCGGGCAGAAGCTAGTCAAATTGTCAAATAGTTGGGATGAATTTCAACAGGTTAAAGAAGGGCCAAATTAAAAGTACCCTTTAACCGATGAGCATGCCCGATATGATTGAATAATTTAGTCTAACTGAAGTTACCTTTGGGTAACTTTCGTTCACGCCTTACTGTAACAGTAAAAATGCTTAATTTAAGTATACTTCCCCCGAAGTCCCGAGTCCGTCTCTGGATTCCATTGCAATCTTGGCGGCCATAATTAAAAAGTGCAAAAGTGAAATATATTGTTTGCGGAACGCTGCACTTTATCAACTTTAGATTAAATGTCAGAATGTCACCTCTTTATTCATTACTTCATTAGGTATATAGGCATCTATGAACCTAATAACATTCATTTAAATTTTAACTCGTCGAGTACCGGTTTTGCAGACACAATTATA